GGAGGGAGGGAGGGAGGAAGGGAGGGAGGGAAGGAGGGAGGGAAGGACAAGGGAAGGAAAAGGAAAAGGAAAAGGAAAAGGAAAGGAAAGGAAAGGAAAGGAAAGGAAAGGAAAGGAAAGGAAAGGAAAGGAAAGGAAAGGAAAGGAAAGGAATTCATCTGGGATCATATGTTAGCAGTATATTAGCAGGGTGTTACTTAACACATACTTCACATAAGTTCAAGTTCCCATGATATCCCTCTTATCTGTCTACACAGTCTGTGTCCAACTTCCTACTTGATTACAGGACTGCAGTAAATCAGCAATCAAAACAAGTCTCCTTCCACAATAATTGTTCTCATAAGTTCCCTTGGCTATTTTTAGACATTTGCTTTAATAAGAGCAACTTTGAAAACATCACTTGGCCTCACTCCCTTGGTTCTGATGAGAATTAGAAGAACAAATGAGAAGCAATGAAAACTGTTCTGCTATCACCAGGCACAAGATATCCCATGCCTTTCCACAGACTTCATTTCATGTCTTTCAGTCAAATCACAAAGCTCACCACAACCTCATAACACCTTTTGCTAAATTCATTTAGCAGATTATTTTCAATAGGATTTCCTGCCACACACCTCCCAATTTCCTTTCAGTGTTTTGCATTCAGCAGAAAGAAAAAATTAATCTTTCCTAAATCACTTAAATCTTTAATCACTGATCCAATTTCTCAGAAGTCCAAATAATTGTCAAGGTAAATTTCTTGGATTTTTCTAACTATTTTTATTCCATATAATTACTTGATTTTATTATTTTTATGACCTCCATCTTACTTATTAGTGGCTTCAAAAACAAGCATAAACTCAGATACAAAGCATCCATAATTTGGTTCCTATTTCCAATGAAAATGACTTTTTGCCACTTACTATAATTTTTACTTTATCATTTACTTATTAAAATTAAATCTCTGATATTTTCTATTATGTTTTGGTGGCATACCTCTAATACAATATCTTTATGTGTGTGAGTGAGAGTGAGTGTGTGTGTGTGTGTGTGTGTGTGTGTGTGTATCTGTGTTTGTGTAAACAAAGAAGACACCTTGTCCGAGTAGGTTCTCTCCTCCACCATGAGTCCTAGGGATTAAACTGAGGTCATCAGGTTTGGTGACAAGTGCATTTTACCCACTAAGCCATTACAAACAGTCTAATAACAGACTTCTGAAAATTCTCATTTTTAAATTTTTAAAACTAAATTCTATTTGAGTATAACACAGAATTTCTTAAAAAGTCACTAAATTAAACTTTATTTTACTTGATAATTTTGTATGTGTGTACGTAAACAACATGTATACATACACATAAGTAATCCATCCTTAGTTTTCTTGGCATAGTACTTTTAGTTCAGTATTAAGATTACTGTCATTATAAAAAAAGTATTTTTTGTTCCTGAAACAAATATAAACCAGAGTAGTTGTTTAAATATATATAAAAAATCTCTGCCTTTCTGAAAACAACATTTTAATAGATTGTTGCCTTTGGTACAGTGTTCAGGTGGGTCTATCTTCTCCGAGAGAAGGCTCCCACCCTGCTTGAGAGCTTCAGAACCCTTTGCAGAAAAAAAAAGAAAACAGAAGAAGAAGAAGAAGAAGAACAACAACAACAACAACAACTCTGTACTGATCTAAGGTGACCTCCACAACCTTGAATAAATCCCTTTAAACTTTCTAAGGTTCAGCTCTTCCCAATATAATAGAACAACATCTACAAGGTTATGGTGTGGGGATTAAATCCAGCAGGAAGGGGTCTGGTCCATTAATTGTCAGACATGGTAACTTTGAATTCAGTGTGAGGCAGTTCAATGCTATGCAGAGCTGAATTCTACCATCCCTTTTGAATCTATCCAACAGGATAAGCTAACTGTACTATTTTTTGCCCTGCCCTTTGGCCCACAAAACAATCATAACTGTGCTGGGCAGTGGTGACGCACACCTTTAGTCCCAGCACTTGGGAGGCAGAGGCAGGTGTGTTCGAGGCCAGCCTGGTCAACAAGAGCTAGTTCCAGGACAGGCTCCAAAGCTACAGAGAAACCCTGTCTCGGAAAAAAAAAATCATAACTGCATTTTAAGATAGATAGAATTCCTGCCTCAAATTAGCATGCATGTAGTACAAATTCGAATTTAAATGTGCATACATTAGGGAAGGAAGAAGTGCTAGATAATTGACACCTGAAAGTACAGCACTCATCCAAATTGCCTACCAATCTGGAGGTGCACATTTCAGATGCTATCCAATTAAGTATTTGCTTGGGCATCTTGCTCTAACAAGCCCTCAGGTCTGTGAGAATGAAATATATGCATCCCCACATATCAGAGTGGCTGCTCAACTTTCAAGCACAGTACAAGTTAAGACAGAAACTAATTGCTTATTTGCAACCTGCTAATCAACTACACCTACCAATTAAAAATCTGAATTTCTTCTGAAACACCAAGACTTCAAGGTATTATTCAGAATAGCGACAGAAGGTGATAGATTTAAAAAGTACATGACATCTATGCCAGGATTAATGTGAGCTGGAGACATCACTCAGTGGTAGTAGGGACCTAGCATACTGAAGGACCAAGTTTAATCTCCAATAACATAAAGAAAAGTAACCTGATAGAGTCCACACTGCAGGCTTCTTTCAGTAACTGTACACTGTCTACTCTAAGTATCAATAGATAATATATTCACACAAAGAAAGAAACTATCTTCTTAACCAATTATAATAAAAGGTACAGGTCCAATTGATCTCTCATGTATTTCTAATTTTAACTTAAAAGTACATTCATTACCAAGGAAACATAATTACCTGATAGCAGTCTCCTTTAAGATTGTCTAAGACATCTCCACATGTTCTTCGCATGAATTTCTTACATCCGTCAATTACCATTTGGTCAATGTCCGAAACAGGTTAAGGAGAATTCAAATATATCAAAGAATTCTGAAATAGTAAATCTTCTCTAAAACGTAAATGTTTGAACATCTGAGGATCATACGTTAAAAAGTAGGTATTATGGTGACTTTATTTTCACACTAAGGAATTCAAGTCCAAAGATGCCATAGGATCGTTTACCTTGTTCTGTCTCTGTCTCGATCATTCTCTCCCCCTCTCACTCATTTTTTTATCTTTTAAAAAATATGTATGAGTGTGCACATGCTGTTATGCACATGCACCACATACATGCCTGCTACCTGGAGGCCAAAAGAAGGCATCAGATATACTGGAACTGGAGTTACAGATAGTTGTTAGTCAGCAAATGGGTGCTTGGAACTGAACCCAGGTCCTCTGTAAGAGTGAGTCCTCTCTCTCTCCAGGCCCTGAAGTTGTTCTCTTATACAGTAAAGGATATCTCTACCATAGTGACCATCTTTGGTTTCAGTTTCACAATTTCACATAATATGCCCCCATCTCCGCCTCCCAGGATCAGCACATCTTTGCCAGTGTAATCTTCTTTACCACTGCCCATGATGGCTCGAGTATATGCCACGTCACTCTCTGCCAAATCTAGGGAGGAAAAGAAGAGACCCAAATGATCATTCTACCCAAATACACAAACCACTTGATCTGCTGAAATCTAGCTTGCAATGGAAATTTCCTAACTTTCAAAAACTGTCCATAATGTGCAAGTTTGATTTTTGGATTGAGTAGTTTTCAAAAACATAATGCATCTAACACATACGATAAAAAGAACTAAGTTACTTAGACAGAAATACAATATTGAGAGTGAGCTGATAGTCTGAGTAATTAAAAGAAATGATACCTTTAAAGATGATAAGATATGCCATCTGGGAGCTACTTTCAAGATAATATTGTAATACAAAATGCAGCAGGGTTAGATGAAACAACACTGGCTAACTCATTGGTATTCTCAAAGTTCCATGGAGAGTACCAGTCAGTAGGTTCAATGCATGAGTTTGTCTACTTAGATTGGAATTTTTTCATAATAAAATGCTATTTTTACTCCAGCAACTTGTACTTTCTAACTATTCAAAGAAAAATCTATTTCAAGACAAAGCTTACACAAACATCCAGACAACCCATAGGTTCATAAAATGTAAGTGAATCTTAAAAGATAGCAGTGTCAGAATTAAGTTCAGTCCAAGACAACGGCATTTGTCAGGAAAGCAGTGACCGCCCACACATCAGAACCTTGTTATGCAACCAGGGTGGGAATGAGATACTTACTAACATCACCACTGAGGATGAGAATATTTCCAAACTGCTTTGAGTGTAGGATTTTAATGTTCTGATAAGGTGAATCTTCATCATACACCACTTCATCTATGTCGTACTCAACCAGGCGCCCATCAGCAGTAGGCCAGTATCTGTCGATGGCCCCTCCTCGAACTATGGGTGGTAAACTACAGAGGGAGAGACAGGAATGAGTCTTTGAAGAACACTGCCTTATAAAAGGACTTGGGATGGAGAATATACATGAGAGACAAGAGAGATGACTTAGTGGTTAAGAGAATGTACAGCTCCTACAGACGGCCCAAGTTTAGTTCCCAGCTAGAGGCTCCTCACAACTGCCTGTAACTCCAACTCCAGGGAGACCTCTGACCGCTACCAGTACCTATACTCACATGTACATCCCCATAATTAAAAAGAAAATAAAAGGCAGTCATGTGTTTGTGGCAGACAGCCTCTTTGAAAGTGTAAAACAAATCCAAAGCTTGGACACTTACCTATTCACAATCACAAATTGTACCAAGTTGCAACAATTGCACAAAACTATTTTTTAAAAGAAAAAGAAAAGAAAACCTTTCTGGCAGGTTTTAAATTTATTGTTCCTAATAAAAAACTGAAGGAGAAAGTGGGCATGGTAGATATTACACTTTTCAGAACATAACAACAAAGGTCTGCAAAACCACGTGGCCATTACTGTAGCTACAAGTTCCATTATCTAGTACAGAATCCACCTTCAAGTATTCTGAGTTGTCCCAATTATTTCTATCATAGTAGTTATGCTTTTGAATAAAGTTTCAAACACTGCGTTTTCTTTTCTTTGTCCTTCTTTTTCTAACCGTCATTTCACTTAGGATATTCTTATTCTTCTCCATTTCAATTGTCTCCTAAAAGGCCTGATCAAGCATCTGGAAGTCATCCTTCCTGTGGATTTTGGCCTGAGATTCTCTTGAATGAAGTCAGGTTGGCAAAGAACACCCAGGTTTCCAAGCAGGAAACCTGAGTTATGGTGATATCTGCTGGACCTCTCTCCATCTGCAAATGTACCTTTGACATCATGAAGCAGGCTGCGCTGTGATCTTCAGAAACTGAGTACTACACAATTATTTACTAGTGGCAATGGGATTAAGAAGTTTAAAACAAAATGAAAAGCTTCTCATCCTATGCTTTTGTAAATAATCAAGTGCTTCTGATATGGTGAATATACCAGAAACCACCAGCAGAGGACACTAAGTGACAGGAGAAAACACCAAAAAGGGGATTAGTGAATGTAAGCCAAACACAAAATAAGAATACACTGGAGACCCAAAAATGAAGTAGTACTCGGTACGGCTACGCAGGTCTGCAATGCTGGAACATACTACCTCTGCCTCACTTCCCAGTCTCCTCTCACCTGCTTCAAACAGTCCAGGCACAACCTGATAACAAGTGAACAAGACTATCTCAGACACACACACACACACCTGTAATCTGCTCCAAAGCTAACAAAGTAATTTCTCACAACTCCTGCCTTAGCCATTTCATCTTTCCAGGGAATGGATTTATCTTTCTGAATATTAGGCAGACCAGAGGTATTTCTTGTGTTAGGTAATGGCCTAGTTAAGACAGCCCCTAGACAGGTAGTGAACAGGACTGGAAGAAGCCTCTTCCTGAGATGAGTAAAGCAACAGAGGGAACCTGTGGCAACAGGTGACTTTGATCAATCTCACTTACAAAACTATTTCTGCTGTGGGTCAATGGTCTGTACCCTGTCAATTATATTTTAAATAAATGCTGATTGGCCAGTAGCCAGGCAGGAAGTATAGGCGCAGTGACCAGGCAGGGAGAAGAGGTGGGGCAACAAGAATTCTGGGAAGAGGAAAGCTTGGTCTGCAATCGTGACCCAGCCACATAAGTTAAGATTTGACTGCCTCGCTGAATAAGGTACCAAGCCACGTGGCTAGTATAGACAAGAATAACAGGCTAATATAAGTTATAAGAGTTTCATAAGAAGCCTGAACTAATGGGCCAATCAGTTTATAACTAATGTAGACCCCTGTGTGATTTCTTTGGGACTTAACGACTGTAGGAACCAGGCAGGACAGAAACCCTGACAACATATTTCACAATAATAATAAATAAAGATTGTTCAGTGGATAAAGATGCTTTCAGACATGTCTGACAAATCGAAATTGATCCATGAAAATCATATAAAAGTGGAAGAGACTAACTCGGCCAAGTTGTCCCTCTGACTTTCACACCCACCCACAATGTGGTGATACTTTGTTTGTGATCTAACATATAAAGCTTGCCTGAAGGTGAAATTGCAGAGCTAAGAAATTAGTTACCCATAGAGGCCAGTCTATGGGTATATAATCCCAGCACTCAGGAGACAGAGACATGATGTAGGAGGGTCATCTGTCTATGTGTTGGTTAATAAAGAAACTGCCTTGGCTTTTTGATAGGGCAGGATTTAGATAGGTGGAGTTGACAGAACAGAATGCTGGGAGAAAAAAGCAGAGTCAGGCAGACGCCATGATTCCCCTCCCTGCAACGGACGCTGGCTAGACTCATGCTGGTAAGCCACAACCTTGTGGTGATTATTAGAATAATCATACAGATTATTAGAAATGGGTTAGTCAAGATGTGAGAGTTAGCCAATAAGAGGCTGGAGATAATGGGACAGGCAATGTTTAAATGAATACAATTTGTGTGTTGTTATTTCGGGTAAAGCTAGCTGGGGAGCCGGGATCCCAGCGGGAACGCAGCCCACAGCACCTTTCTGTTACACAGACAGATGGATCTCTGTGAGTTCAAGGCCACCCTGGGCTACACAAGATTGATTCAGTCTAAGAGAGAAACAGAGCTAGGTGGTGATGGCACACACCTTTAATTCCAGTACTTGAGAGTCACACTCCTTTAATCTCAGCACTAGGGAGGTGGAGACAGGAAGGGATATGGCTAGAAATATAAGGCAGAAAGAGACAGGAGCACATTGCATTCAGTCTGAGGATTCTTAGTCAGGACCTTGCCCCCTTTGTTCTGAGGATTTTGTAGAGGTAAGGTAGCTGGCTGCTCTGCTTCTCTGATCTTTCAGCTTTCACCCCCTAATACCTGACTCTGAATTTCTATTATTAAGACCAATTAGAATTTGAACTACATATATACATGCATTAAAACACTAAATAAATAAGCAAACAGCTTTTAAAAACTGTTCCCATATATGCTGAACACAAAGGAGAGGATTTCAGGGTAGAAAATCCACCCTAGGTGACAGCCAGCCAGTTCTAACTGGTTATATATGTCTGCTCTCAACTGGTTTAACATTGCTTTGGTTAACTTGAAAGTCTCGCTTCTTTAGATTTCTAAAGCCTGGCAAGAAAACAAAGATATCTAATAGGATGTGGCAGCCATTAGCTTAATTGTCAAAGCAGCATAAAGTGTAACCCCCTGCAGTGGACTACCAGGAGATCCCCAGCAGCCCCACAAAATCAACCTTTCCAATTCCATGTCTTCCTGGCCTCAACTACACTATACACACTACAAGAATTTTCCCCCAACTGAAACTTCTCGTTCCTTTTCACTTCAAAACACAAGACAAACTGAGCAGACCACGAGGTGAGTGATCACCCAATTAGTGGGGCACCCCACTTTCTAGGCCTTCCATAACTTGGCAAAATCTCCGGGGCCCTCCCCCACCCTCAACAGCTTCTGTAGTCAGCCAACAGGCAAGTTTCCTATAGGTAGGCTGCTCCAACACACTCATCCCATTGATTGGACCCTGTAAGCTACAAGTCCCACTTTGCCCCCAAACCCATAACCCCCACTCCATCACCACAACCTCAGAGGAACTCTGAAAAACAGGCTGCAAATACACAGAAAGGACCAAGAGTTAGGCTACTCCAACATCCTCACCCTATACATCTGCCCCTGTAAGCTACAGGTGTCACTCTGCCTCAAAGGAACTCTAAAGCACAGGTTGCAACTGATGGAAGAATCAAGAGAGCAGACCAAGAGTGGGCCAAGAGAGACCTCAGTGGTTCCATGAGACACAGACAGTGACAATACAGAGCAGATCATGAACAGCTCCCAAAGATCCAGACAGCAACTGTCAAGACTAGACAAAAAGGCAAAGACACTGCGGGCACCAAATGGAGGAAGAGATGGGTAAGCACCAATGCAAGAATTCATTCAACAAACTAAAAAGCAACATGGTTAACACCAGAACCCAATGATCATACAACAGGAAGACTTGATCATCCTAACACAGAAGAAGCAGAAGAAAACGATTTAAAATGTGCCTTTATGAGGATGATGCAGAGCTTTAAAGAGGAAATGAAAAACTCCCTTAAAGAAATGGGGGAAGGGCTGGAGAGAGGGATCAGAGGGTAAGAGCACTGACTGCTCTTCCAGAGGTTCTGAGTTCAATTTTCAGCAACCACATGGTAGCTCACAACCATCTGTAATGAGATCTGTTGCCCTCTTCTGGAGTGCAGTCATAAATGCAGGCAGAACACTATATACATAATAAATATATATTTTAAAAAATAAAATTTAAAAAAAGAAATGGGGGAAAAGACAAACAAAAAATTGGAAGAAATTAACAAATCTCTTGAAGAAAACCAAGAAAAAACAAACAAGTGAAGCAAACAGTTCAAGACTTGAAGACTAAAATAGAGTCAATAAAGAAAACACAAACAGGAAATTCTGGAGATGAAAAATCTGGGTAAACAAATGGGAACTATATATGTAAGCATAACCAACAGTATACAAGAGATGGAAGAGAGAATCCAGGGGTTGAAGATATTATAGAGGAAATAGTTTCAGAGGTCAAAGAAAATGTTAAATCCAACAAATTCTTAAGACAAAACATCCAGGAAATCTGGGACACCTTGAAAAGACCAAACCTAAAAATAAGTGATAGAAAGAAGAACTCCAGCTCAAAGGCACAGAAAATATACTCAACAAAATCATAGAAGAAAACTTTCCCAACCTAAAGAAGTATCCCTTGAAGGTACAAGAGGCTTGCAGAACACCAAATAGAATGGACCAAAAAAAAAGTCCCCTCCCCATATAATAATCAAAAATGCTAAACATACAGAATAAAAAAATATTATGAGATGCAAAGGAAAAATGCCAAGTGACATATAAAGGTAGACCTATCAAAATTACACCTGTCTTCTTAAAGGAAAATCTG